ATGACGCAATGAGATCTAGTCGTGAAATATTTTTCTTATTTCTAATATTGGAATGTTTTCTTTTGTCAATTTAAATGTTTATCCTAAAACTTTTGTTTCAACATATTTTTGATTTAATTTAATTTTACTCTGCAAAGATAAAAAGAATAATAAATTAAAATAAAACATCTCGTATACGTACATATAAATCATACTTAAATATAATAATTAAAATAATAAATAATTAAAGCTGTTGCATTATTAAGTATTAAATATTAAATGTCATTAATTATACCTGATGGATTACTTCGATATTTTTATCAGCCATTTGATTCTTCATGAACGCAACTCAGTACATATCTTTTTTGTCTAAAAATATTATAAAAAGAACGCTATGAAGAACTTTATAGCTAAATTATAAATAGCTTTTGTATGTTTCACACAAACAACTTAAATAATCATTTATAATATCAAAATAACAATAATTTATTATTTCGTTAATATTCACTTACTTTGCTCGCTCCACTTTTTTTTATTATACAATTTATTCCGTTACACGTAACTTTTGATAGGTATTTTTCCGATAAGAAATTCAATCGCGGTGTGTGCCAGTTTAGGTTCATTAATCGATTTTATGCAAATACTAACGCTATTGACTAACATATGTACACTTGGACAACTGCGGCAACGTGTATTCCACGATCGTTGCGGTCAATAGAGCTCCAATTTTTACAATTAAAATTCACACTTATTAAATATGACAAACGATACGAGACACATTGTTACGAGCGATTTCTGTATCGCGACATCCGCGTAGCGAAGCTAGAAATTTGCCATGTGACCCGCAGAAGAAAACAAACGTTTGACGTTTACGCTGCGTACACACGACCGAGGCTTCTGCTAGCTGTCAATCAATTCCCTCGTGCGCATGCGCACGTGTGCTGAGCACGCGACTTCTCCTCGATTGTCATGCCTGTTTACATTATTGTTCATCGATCGACACCTATCGATCCACAAAATTGCTTCTCGGAAGATTAACACGGATTCGTATATTAGAATTTAGGAAAATTATAAAAATGACCGAGGAGCAGAATTCCTTGTTACACAACGCAATTGTTTCACAGGTTAAATCTCGTACGTTAACTCAGAGGTTATTTCCTATTAAGAAAGAATTTGTTTATAAATTACAGATATCTGACACTGCGTATTACATACCGAATTTTATTACCGAAGACGAAGAGAAGCAGATTATTAAATGCGTGAACAGTGTACCACAACCAAAATGGACACAATTAAGTCATCGTAGATTACAGAATTGGGGTGGTGTACCACATCCTAAAGGAATGATAGCAGAAGAGATTCCTGGTGTAGGTAATAAAATTATATAATCAGAGTGCAAAGTCTTAGAGAATTTAAAGATAAAAAAACTGCCAACATCCCTGCATTTATTATAGTAAAGTAGAAGGTGGCATTATGATTCCTTATTTGTATTTTGTACAATAATTTTGTTAGTAATCGATATTTTGAAAAATTACATTTGTCAAAGTGTTGCTCATTCAGTTCTAGACTCAAAATTATAAAATATTTGTTACTTAGGACGTTATTTATAAAAATGTAACTATACTATGTACTGTAAAAGGAACAGAAAAGGTAAAAAAGAACAGAATTGATAATATGGCTCCTTTATTAAGAGTAAATTTAAAAAGTTGGTTTTTTTTATTCTGTTATAAAATTATATATTTATTCAAAATAAATTCTTAGAAGGAACAAGAAGATAGATATAATTGTAAATTTTTAATTGAATTTTTAATGTAGATACTGAATTATTTGTCAGAAAGTAAATATAAATTGTCAGGACAGTTTCTACGAAACAGACGAAATGTTTAAATGTAATTAGAATTATCGATTTCTTAATTTTCTTAAAAAATTTAAAGATTTTATAAAAATCTTATTTGAAAAAATTATATTTTCAAATAAATTACATATTTACGAAGCAATATATGCTTAAACTGCAATACATGCTCAAATTCCACATATTAAATATTATATCCGTATCGGAACATAAACTATAAATTAATAGTAAAGTTATAATCGATTTATCAAATAACTACTTCGATATAAAAATGTCAAAGCTGTTTATTAAAATTTTTTAGTGGCTTCAGAAATATATTGATAAAGTGGCTGCTTTGAATGCCTTTGAAAAAGGAGTATTGCCTAATCATGTCTTAATTAATGAATATTTATCTGGACAAGGAATAATGGTACATCAGAAATAAGATAATATTATTATAATATTAATTATAATATAATATTAATTATACTGTATCATATTTTTTCTTCATTACATATTTATACAAGTTAGATTTATATTAATTAAAAAGTTGCAAATATAAAAAAATAAATACATATTGATATTTGACTAAATAATAACGTTGTAATGTTTTTACCAGGCGCATTCGGATGGCCCACTTTTTCATCCTGTTGTAACTACTATCAGTTGTGGTTCCCATACATTCCTTGATTTTTATAAGCGGCTCGAAATGACGGAGGTAAATACTATAATAATTAATAAAGACTTATATAATACACATTAATGTAATACATGTTATTTTTGCAGCAACAGCAACCCAAGTTAGAATTTAGTTTGCTATTAGAACGCAGAAGTCTATTAATTCTACAGAAGGACTTGTACCATAATTATTTGCATTCTATAGCAGAAACAGATGCAGACAGTATATCGAAATCTACAATAAAAAATCTACATATGTGTGCAGAAAAGTTTGCAGAGGGAGAAGTAATAAAACGTGGTACCAGATTATCTTTAACTATTAGACATGTTCCGAAAACTAGCAAAATGAAATTAAAAATTTTCTGATATATATGTACATTATTGAAATTTGGAAGACATATAATAAATAATGATACATGGCTCTATCGGCTAACAACAATTATTGTTAATTTCTGTTCTTTATAGTTGAATTTACATTCGTATTTAAAATGAAATAGATATATTTAAAGTTTGATGAAAGTTTTTAGTACAACTTGGTGCAGCAATACAAGATAAAATCATTGTCTAAGTTTGATAACAACTTATCTACAACCTAATTTGCAAATTCTGGGTTTGATTTTATTTTGATCTCATTTCATGTATATTTCGCTTTTATAATATCATCACAATATCGTAATTTATGCTTTATTATTACTTATTTTAATTTTTGCATAGTAAATTTACCTTATGAATTATTGTGTAACATTTGGACATCAGTATTCTCTGTATTCTCAAAGCTCACCTCCATTACTTCCTCATCACACTCATCTAACATTCCTTGTAATGAATGTATAGAGGATATTAAAACGTGAAATTGCTTACGACGCATTTCTAGCTTGTGTTCTAATTGTTCTGATTTTTCCTGTGTATAAAAAAATGATTTTAAAAATATAAATAATCAATTTCTATAATTATATTCCAAACAAAATAAAAATTCATATATGAGTTCAAACCTTTAAAGCACCTAATTCTTGTTGCAATGTATCAAGCTTGATGTGTGTTTCTAACCGATCTGGTTGTTCATTGATGACTTTGGCTAACACATCATATTCTATTCTATTTTTTCTAACACGTTTGGCATCCTGCAATTCTATCTTAGTTTTTTCTATGTCTTCTTTAGCTTTCTCTATTTGTACTTCAATTTCCTTTGACAATTGTTCATAACTTTTTAATTCTTCTCGGCTCATGTTTGAAACTAATCTGGATTTTTTCTGTGCAAATTCACATTGTGCCAATTGAGACAGCATTCTTTCATGCAACGTATTGTCTACATCAGAACTATTGATCCATTTTATAAATGACTTTAACAGCATGTTGATTCTACGATCATCTCCTGTTCCATCACCATCTATGAGCAAGCGCCGACGTATTACTTCTTCTGCAAAATAAAATAAAATATATATTTCAATTTTTTACAATGAAATTTCTTATAGATTTATAAGATGCTTATAAATATCAATAATATTAAATTGATTATCAATAATATAATTATTATAAAATTATATTAATATAATTATGATTTTAGCTTTGATTAAAATAATAATTTAGAAAATAGAATAATTGGCTTAAAGAAATAAAATGTACATATAGTCACAAAGTTAAAAATGATAAAGATCTTACCAATGATCTAAAAAAATATTTAATTATTTATATCATATTATAATTTTTATCATATTATACTTATACAATAAATGGTGAACTGTAAATATTTTAACAGTAAACTTTTACTAGATTCATTAAAATCAATAACTCTACTTCTTCTAACCTAATTTATACTCTAATGTAGTTTTAAGAAATTTCTCAAAAAAAAGATAAATTTCTTAATTGTTTTAATCAAAAGAACGTACATTATGTATCATAAAAATAGATTATTTGTATATTATTTTATTAAAAAGATATTTTTGAAAAAATTTGATTTAAAAGCAATGCTTTACACTAATTAAATAATGTTTTACAATAATTTATACTATAATATATCTTTATAACAAAATTGTGATAACGAATATGCAAATTTTAAAAACCATTTAATAACGAGTTTGAATTTATTTGCTTGAGTCTATGCGAGCTTATACAGATCACTCATTGTGTATAATACATATATTTTATTGAATCATATATAAAATCTTTTATTGTCAAGTGTATACGGTTTTTTTTATAGCAATAAATATTGTAACTGTATATTATTTACCATCAGACATCGTTAGACATGTACCCGTAACCAAGCAGGTATAAACAAATCACTAATTATTAGGCGATGACGATAGACTACATGTCTTCACAAAACATATATTGTATATAGAGTGGTCATGGTCGCATTTTAGCTGTAACCAGAGAAAAGCCTGAGGCGTTTCGAGGGTACAGAATGAAACGAGTTTTCTTTTGGTTCTTTCGCTGTGATTGGTTTGCGCGTTCCGCTGTGGATTTCCGCGCCATGGGAGATACCAGCCTGAGAGTGGTCATGGATGCATTTTAGCTGTACCTTTAGGGCCGGAGCACACACTTCTGCATAACGCATAATGCACAACGCATAAGAAAATGAACCAATCATAGTCCTCCATTTCTACTCCCCAATAAAATCAAAAGATTCTGATTGGTTAACTTTCTTATACGTGATGCATTATGCGTATGCTCCGGCTCTTATTCGCGTAGATAATGTGCACGTTTTTGTGTGGTTCTCTTCCGTGCTAGACGCAAGAGTGATAAAGACGGATAGTCGTGTCCATATCGTCTGTCTTTGAGAGAAATGAGAATTTGTTCGAATTGAGAACTTGAGGCTGAGTGGAGAACGTGGAGGGCGTCTCGAGGTCGTAATGAGGCACTTATTTGTTAGTCCAGAAAACGTCCTGTTTACGTTTCAGGATCATAATACCCAGCAAACAAAATGCTAGCAATTTACTAGCAAAACTGGCAACAAATTCGATCATGTATACGAACAGATTGGCAGCAAAAATCGAACAGTTTGCCCTAACAGTTAGAGAAAAAAAGAAAATTTTGTTTATTTCGTACCACAATAGAGTGATACGACCTGCTCTGTCCCTACGTTCGATAGGGACATCCTCTTCTGATGTAGTTGACGCTGGTCGCCGGAAGGCATCACATTTCACATCGTCTCGTTAAAATAAAATAGTAAAAAACGAAAACAAAGAAAAAAAACCTATGCAAAAATTGGTGGCTCGCGCCACTCTCGAGTCCCGCTCGCGCCCTCTCCCCTCGAACGGGTGAAACGCAGGACCAACAATTCTCGTAATCGGAGAATGCTCCTTGTGGTGAGGAGATCCCACGACGCACGTCACAATAAGTAGTAAAATCTTTTAATTTTCACATAATAAAATTCCGATTTTTTTCTTTCAACTTTTTAAGTTTTATTAATTTACACGAGATATTGTTTTTTACTTTTTAATTTATTATATCTTTTGTTTCTCTATAAATAAAGCAATCATTTTTGTGCTTTATTTTAATAAATTTCTATCACATATAAGAAGGAAGAGTTTTTTCCTAACAGTTTTATAGCCTTTAATAATTATCGCAATTTTATATTTTAGTCAATCTTATTCTCGCCATCATAGAATGAACAATCTTGTGCAAATCATTTGTTGTTCATAATTTTATCAAGAAAAATCGGACTTTATCTACGTGAAAATCGATTTTTACACAATTTGTTAGATTGCACTACACTTATATAAATTCTGGATTTTTTATTTTATTTTTATTTATTATATTTTACATTAGTTGTATGTCCTCAGCGATATTTTTGTGAATTTTATTTAACTATTAAAGTATTATTAATGTCTTGTTTCATATTTGTAATATAAATTTCCTTCGGTCTTTATTAATATGATATTTATATGCTGTATTATAAATTTTGTTTCTAGAATTTTATTTTGATGAAAAGAGTTCAGTGTGGTCAAAAGTTTAAGTATTTAACATATTATTTTACTTTGTTTTAATAAATATTGTTTCAACGATATTTGTTCTTGCTTATTTATTAGCTTTATTTGTTTATTTTAATCCAATTTCATAGAAGGTTAAAAATCCGTGATTTTGTGGGGGGTTCTTTATAATGTAAAAATAAAATATTAATAAAATATTAAAGTATTAACAAAGACTAGAGGAAATTAACATAATGCAAAAGCGAAATATAATAATAATAATATAATAATTAAATAAGATTCATAAAAACACATCGCAGGAACAATACAATTCACAGTTATAAATAACGTATAATTAATAATTTTTAAATAATTGTTTTTTAGTATTTGTTCAGTACTTTTTAATAAGATGATACACCTCTTTCAAATTAAATATTCTTTATTTCATACAAAGATATGCGATCAAATATTTGAAAGCGTCAAAACTATTATACAATTATCAGCAAATGTCAAAAAAATTGGCGAGAACTTTTCATATAGTGGCAAATTATTTGTGCTGTATTGAAAGCGCTCGGGTTTAAAAATTGTTTAAAATTAGTTAAGGAGCGGCACTATTTACCAAAATCATAAAAAGCGTTGAAACCTTGAAGGTAACTAATATTCTGTTTTAAATATGTTCCTAAATGGTTTGTTATTTTTCAGAGCTACATTGCTTTGCCACTATCAGATGCCGTCAACTCCGACATTTTGTTGCGGGATAATCGAGCCTTAATCTGTTTAAATAAAATATGCTATATATGAACGAAATATGAATCTTTTACGATCCATTATATTTACGATATTTACGATTGTTTGACATAGATGACATTTTATATATAGTTTATATAGTTTACATAGCTTACGTTACGTTGTTTATGCTAATGTAGATTATTTATATTTTACGCGTAAATGCACAATCCTATCCATGGAAGTATTAATATTAGAAAAAATATTTAATTTGCTCCACTTAAATTTCAATACAAATAAATTCTATTGATGTTTTTGCGTAAAAAACAAAGATTTGAGAAATAAAAATAATCACGTGGATTTTACACACAGAATAAATGTGCACAGGGATTTTTGTTTGTATAATATTATATTTTTGAAAATCTCTATATATATTTATGTATATATATATATATATATATATATATACATACTATACACATATATAATTATATATATATATATATATATACTTATACATGTGGGGATAGCGATAATACGCCTGCACATAGTACATGGTTCTTAAACTATATTAAATACACTTTACATTTCATAACATCACCATTATCGTAAGAAATAGTATAACGCGAGAATACATAATGTTTCGTCTTCCTCATGGAAAAAAATACGTCTATCTCTGGTATCTAAATATTAAGATCATTGGTCCCACATATGGGTCTTCAAATATATAATATTTGCAACATATATTATGACATCTACAACTTAAACATTACACCCTTCTGATATTTTAACATCTTTGTTGATACTTTTTAACTTAAAAAGGAGGAAAAAAGAAAAAGATAATCTCCGAAAATAAAGTCATCCTACACTTCGTTCTTAAAGTCAGGTACATCTCAAATAAACTCAGTATGGGTCATTTTTTTCTTTTTAGAATTGTTCTTTTTATATTACAAACAAAACATTATTGTTCGTTGCAATAGATATTTAGTAAGTCAAATTTAATATTTACTGTTTTAATAATTACTGTTACAATTGTAACAAAGTTCATTATTAGGCCAAAAATGTTGAGTATAAAAAAATGCTATGTTAAACCATGTCTACATATTTGTTCTTTTTAATATGACTGAAAAATTTCAACTGTCATAATCTTGCAAAGAACATGATCTTTCCTTCTCATAGACTCTTTTAAGGTATGATATAAATAAAATAATAATAGAAAATAATTACTTTTATGTTACTTTTAATATAAAAAAATTGTTTTTTTCTAATATTAAACAATTTTTCAATGTTTAAAAAAATTTTTAACAATAAATTTAATCCTTCAGATAATGACAGTTGAAAATCTAATTTTAATTTAAATTTAATTTTAATTTATGTACTTTTGGAAACATTCTCATAAATGTTGCTTCTACAGTACAATAAAAGATTGATTCATTCAATAATTGATTCATTCAATATTAGGAATTTAATAACTCGACATTTTTTATCTAAGGGTTTGAATAATAAAGTAATTTCGTATTTTCAAAAAACACATTTCTGAATGATGAAAATCGTTTTTGATGAAATTGGGAATATGGATTTCAATGATTACACGCGCACTTATATTTTTAATTTTTGATATGACTCTTGATTCTTTTACTTATTTATAAATAAGAAAATATTTTGATTAAAAACGATCGATCTCGATCGTGAACGTCCGAAAATTTCCTATGTAGTGATTTATGTTTGAGGTAACAAGTACAATATGCATATTAGTATTATTGCACAAGTTGTAATGAAAAATTAATTACTGAAAAAAAATCTTTCCCTCAAAAAAAGAAAAATAAATTACTATGTACTGTTTAGCAAAAATGCCATAGTATTTAAATTTAAATCTCCAATGATGTACTCAAGGAACTTTATCGTGCGTTCTATGAGAAAGAATAATTTCTTGTATTACGTTTCAATAATTTTTATGAAACGGATATAATAACAAGTAATTACAAGTGCACTTTATGAAAGCTTCTTGAATTTGCGTTACGACTGAAAGGGCTTTCTGCGTCTTCCAAATAGATTGCTCAATACAGAACTACGTTTGTAATCACGATCTTTCCGGTTGCTACTTGAACTTTGTTCGCTTTCTGATCCGCTCTCTGACGCTCTTCTGTTGTCCATCATTGCAATATTCGGAGAAGATGTTTGCGGAGCTGCTGGTGGAGCAACATAAGGAGGTAATGATGTCGGTCTGCCAGTAAAAGTATTGTTTTGTTGCTGTACACCCTGTAAAAGATACGAATATATATTAAGTTTTCAAATAGAAAACAGCAAGATATAATTTATAAATGTGTAATGACAAAGTTGAGATATCAATTCAGTTGTTACAATTGCTACAATTATTTTAATTTAATTTAAATATATCAAATTTAAATAATATTTCAGAATCAATGTATATTTTGTAAAATCTTAGAGACGATTTGAAAATATAATAATGATTTGATTTCGATTTATAAGAAAAATAAAGAATATAAAATTAGTTTTTCTTTTCAATTCTTATTTAATCCAATTTGACTTAATTCATTTAATATAAAAAGACTTACTTGTCTAATATTTGGTACATTCCCGTATGCTGTAACAGATAAATAAAATAATTAAGAAATTTTTTCCATTAAAAATTGAAATCACAAGTTACAATATATAAAATCCAGCTATAATTAAAATTATTGTTATAATACAATAAACAGCTATTTACAATCGTTACATCATTATGTAAATTATAGAGTTAGAACATCAAAGTGCAGATCAACAAAATGCAACATTAATTTATAATCTTTTAAGTGCTTATAAACAATAGCATAAATCAGTTAGTATTAATATTTTATATTAATATTTTGAAAGATAAGTATATGTTTCGGTTAAAAGTTTAAATACACATATAAATTGTTTCACAATTGCTCTAGCATTTTACATTCCTCGCCAAGCAATTTGCTAAAGAGATTTTTTTGCAAAATGTGGATACAGATGAGTGATGAAAACAAAAGCATTCTCTAAACGCAGAATGCTTGCATGCGATCTCTTTTTCATCAAATGTGGATGTTTCATAATGACTGACCAGAATTATGAGAAATGTTCCACTGAGCCATTCTGATCGGCGGAGGAGCACTCGATGGCAATGGAGGGGCTAATTCTAAAATGACGATGACGTTCACGTGTCGATAAATATCGAGTAGAATTTTCCTAAACTTTCCTTTTGCATTTTTCGACTTAGACTATACAATAACTTACCTTGATGTTGTGAAGGGAGATCCACGCTGCTTTGTCGATGCCATACTGGTGGCTCATTCGACGAATACTGACCGGACCCATTGTGATTTAATGTTGCGCTTCGCTGCTGGTAGACATTGGGTCTGTTTGGTGGCAAATGATGTTCCATATCTATAGATAACAGCATTAAAAAAAAAAAACAATGTTTTGATTGAGGTATGGAGATATAGATTATAGTACATGGAAACTTGAAAAGATTATTAGATACAAGAAGAGTAAATCATAAATAAAATGAATAAAATAAATTACAATAACAAACAAAATAAATTTTATCTAGAAAAATATACCATTGCGCCTATATTGCACCATATTTTCCGAACTGGATGTTCGCATAGGAATAGCTGGAGGAGCGCCTCGCGGCGGTAAGGGTGGTATGGGTGGCTTGTCGGTTCCCAACATCGCGGAATTCTGTTGATACTGATCGCGCTGAGCTGCCAGTTGTTCTTGCTGTATTAGGTGTTGCTGTTGTTGCTGTGCAAGCAGCTGTTGCTGTCTGTGCATTTGCAAAAACTCTGTCTGTGTCTGCGGCGGTTCGGGTCTCTGCGACGCTAGGAATGCCTCAGTGTTCTGTGCGTCATTCCGCCGTTGTTGATTGTGCCGATGCATCTGTAGAAATTCTATTTGCACCGAGCTAGGTGAGTGTTGATTTTGCGAGATCGGGTCACGTCTGATCACAGAGTTCTTGCGTTCCATTTCCGGTGTAGAAGCGCGACTACTTCCAGTCGATGGGTTGTCATCTGCATGTTCGAGTCCTGAACTCTGCAACCTCTCTAAGCCTTCTTGCTGCATCTAAAATTGATAAGTAGATCATATATAGTTTAAGTTTTTTAGAATATTAAAATAGAATATATAAAGAAAATTAAGTGATTAAAGGATTAGATAATTATAGTTGTGTAGATAATTTCCCAAATTCAGAAGTAAAAATTTATTGCGAACCTTTTGAGACTCGTCATAGCTTAAGAGTTGCAAACTTGGTGGCAATTTCGCATGAAATGAGATTTTGTTCACCCAATCTTCCATCTCCTCCTGACTTGGTGCCAAAAACAAAAATTCTGAACCGTCCGTGCATTTCAACCGGAATACGTTTTTCTTTTTCGTGTAATCATCCGCTTTCTCGCATATGGCATTGAAAATAGTTATCGGAGCAGTAGCCGCTTTACTTAGCGAGAAATCGTCCGTGTCTTTAAAGAAGCACAGCAGTTGACCGCACAATACTGAAATAGTCGAGGAATAAAAATAAATTTACTAATAGAAAAACTGTTTTAGGTTTATTTTATAATTTCGTAAACAATTAGGTACCTGTGTAATATTGCTTCCATGATCGGACAGCTGCTTTTTTGCCGGCGCTTTGAAGCTCATGCTTTCGTTCGAGAAGACCTTGAATCTCGACTGGTCGTAACGCATCCATATTCTCCATTCGTTGCAGTTTTCGGAAGCTTTGTGTTCTTCGTCTAGTCGTAAAGCTCGGGGTTCGTTTTGGTTTCTTCGTATCCACTTTCATGCTTTCGGCTCTTTTAATATCCGAAGTTGCTGAAAAAAATTCGAACATAATCAATTATGAAATTTTTTTATTGATGCAAAAGTGCGGAGGATTTATTATCAATTGATTTCTTTGCGTAAATATTGCATACCTCGTCTTAATTTTTCACTAAACATATGCGATAAACCGTATGGTTTTTGTGGTGCGCTAGGTTCTGCTGTTTCGGAAGCGGTAGCACCTTTCAGCGGAGACAACCTGATGAATGAATTAACGTAAACGTGTCAAATTATTTGTAAAAATATCTTAGTACCTTTCAGCCTTAAGTTGTATTTTAATTTTAACTCACATATTCGCGGATTCATGTTCGTCGACCGAGCCGTTAAGTTCATCGTGTTGCGTACGATGAGAGTTGTCTAATAATCGTCTACGTTCTTCTTCACGTTTTCGTTCCTCAGTTATCCTTTGCACCTCTTTGCGCTTCCGTTCCTCAATCCTCGCACGTTCCACCCGTTCTTTCTCTGCTTGGCGTGCAACCATTTCCGCTTCCTGTTGCTTTTGGAAGGCTTCCTCCAACTGTGCAAATATTTATAATATTAAAACACACGTGCTTTACACATTGTAAGTCTTCAACAATAATTATTAACAATCTTTTATTTCATCTTTGTCTAATTACAATAATAAACCTCACCATTGTTATTCGTTTAAGCGCGCTGAATCTTTCCTCCTGTGCCTGTATAGTCTTCTCAAAGTCCTCGTGTTTCCTTATCAACTCTTCTACTTGAGAAATGCTGTCACCCAATTTTTCATCGTGCAACATCGGCTCCCTATTGACTATCCAATTCTCCAGAGTTTCAGCATCTCTCTTGAACAACTGTGTATCCAAATTCTGTTCGTAAATACGTCTTCTCTGTTGCCATGTGTCCTTTAAGATTTGCTGGCGTTGTTGCAACACCGATATCTTATCCTCGACCTCTTTCGCTAGGAAATGTCCCTGCTCGATTAGTTTCTGCCCAGTTCGGTAGAACTTCTCAAAGGCCTCTTCGCGCGTGTCGATCTCCGATTTATACTCGTTATGCCTGGAAATCAGCGCCTCGGCACCAGGAACGTCCCGAGCCAATTCCGGCGCAGTCACTTTGGCCACCATTTCATTTATCCAAGATATCAGTTCTCTATACTCGCCTAAATAGGCCTGTAACTGTTCCGCTTGAGCCAGTTTGCTTCGCCTCTGTGCCGCTTTCTCCAGCAGCTCGGCCCAGGCCGCTTCCGCTTCCTGATGTTTCACGTCGATATGTACACGCGCGTCTGGGAACAGCTCGATCAATCTGGTTGCTTCTTCCATCAGGCTTTCCACTTGTTCCTTTACAGCCGCAAGGTCAGTCTCGAATCCCTGATGTTTTCTTACCAGTGCTTGAATTGTTTCCAAATCTTGACCATAACCATCCGAACTAAGAGCTGCTTCTTTCTCCTGTATCCAAGAGATAGTCTCGTCGGCCGTCCTGTCAAACATGTGAACCTGCTTAGCCCCTGCCAATGCGTCTTGTCGAGCATGTGCTAATTCCTTCAGATCCTCCCACTGTTGTTTTGTTTCGTCAATTTTCTGGAGTATTTTGCTTTTCTCAGGATTATTCTGCTCAATCAGCCTCTGTCCCTCGTCAAGTACAGCAGATACCCGACCTTCGCTGGTTGTTAAACCGGCTAGGAAATTGTCGAATATTTGAATCAACAATTCCACATGTTCTACGTCACGACCATAATCCTCTGATGCGGCAACCTTTTTGTCATATTTAATAATTATATTAATAATTTTATAATTATAAATATAGTATAATTATAGCTATTAGTATATTAAAGTTAAAGCTATATACATTTATTGACTAAATATTTCTAAATTTACCGTTGTTTGGTCTCCAATCCATTCGATCACTTCATCTGCTTGTCTAATAAATTTATAAAACTTTTCGCTCTCCGATAATCTCTGCAATCTATATTCTTTCAATCTCTGCAGTTCTTTGAATTTAAACTCAATATCCGTCTGTTTTTGCGCGATGTTCTTGCTATCAAAGTGATGCCGCTCAACTAAGCCACATGAAAGTTTTTTCAAGTTATCAATTGTGTTTTCGAAACCGGATAAATCGCGTTCGATACTTTCTAACTTCTTCAGCAGAGATTGCACAGAATCTTCATCCTTGCCATGATCAGATGAAGTAAGTTGTGGATGCTTTTCTCTAATCCACTGTTCAGCTTCCGCAGCTTCGGCATAAAACTATAAAGCGCAAATTTTGTTTTTTTTATTTTGTGTGTGAAAATTGATAAAATTATAAAAATTATTTACATTATTTTTATATAACCATTACTATGACTAATAAATATAAAATTATAATTTATTTTAATTAATTCTGTATTATTAATTTGATATTAATGATATTAATTTCAAATCAATAGAAGTACATTTAATTTCTTACCATTTGCGATTCTACAGCATCGAGCAATCTTAATTTCCTAACACTTGCAAGATCTCTAAGATGCGATAATTCCTCTTGCAATTTTTTGGTCAATTCTTCAATTTTATCTGCTGCAAAGTGTCCACTTCTAATCATCACAGTTGCTCTACTAACTAATGAAGCTACTACAGGTTCTCTGGACAGTAGTTCTGCTTCTAAAGCTTGGTGTTTCTTTTGCAATCGTTGTACAGTAGTCAGGGAGCTTCCTAGATCATTGCTCGCAGCTAATGGTTCCTTCTCCGATAACCAATGCAACTCATCTTCAACGTCTCTCGCGAACTGATGTAGCAATTTTGCATCTTCCAAGTTATCCCTGCGTATCTGTATTGGCTCCTGGAGGCTGTGATATCTATTTATCGTAACCAATGCTCTCTCTTGAATCTCATCGCTCATGAAATGGTTTGACTTCTGAAAGCTAGCAGCAGTGTCTTTAATAGACTCGCATGCCTCGTTGTGACCAAGTACATCGTTTTCTAAGTTGGTGTGCCTTTTTAATAAATTTGCTACGCTCGAGAGATCTTTGCCGTGATCTTCCGATTGCAATTGGGTTTCCACTTCGTCCATCCACGTTTCAAATTCGTCCAAACTACGGCCGAACAGCAAGGCTTGATATGCGTCGTTCAGCCGGTTCTTCTTTAGCTCGCTAGTTTCTTGCAAAAGACGCCATTCTGCCTCCAATTCGTCTAAACGTTCCTGTATATCCTTTGAGGCATAGTGGTTTTCTTCGATAAGCGCTTCGCCTTCGTTGATCACTGCCGCAACTCGTCCTTTGTTGGCCATCAATTCGCTTTCAAATGCGGCGTGTTTTTGTATCTTGCTTTGTAAATTTGAAGAATCTCTATAATTCTCGTCGCTTGCCACCTGCTGCTTCTGATGCAACCAGCTTTCCACTTCATATATGTTTCTAAGAAACTGGTGCAAATGATGACTCTCCAAAAGTTTCTTCCTTCTGGCTGTCGCGCTGTTCCGCAATTTATCCCTCCTGGCACAAACTAAAGTGAGTCGTTGCTTTATTATACCAGCGTCTGCGTGTTCATGTGATAGGATCTCATTGGCAAACTTCTCGAGTTCCTCAATACGACCCAATTGAGACGCCAACATTTTCTCGAATTCCTCGTGTTTACGCAGCAGTGTTTCAACGCCAGATAATGATTCACCAAGATCATCGTTATTGAGAAACGCTTCTTTCGTTGCTAGCCAGCTATCAGCCTGATCGGCTTGCTCTTTGAATAATTGCAATTGATGCGCTTGCGTTAATTTCTGTCTGCGATTGTCCCAGGCATTTCCCAAGGTTTGTCTAAGTTCTTCCAAGTGTTCAAGATTATCTTTGACATCTTCATTGATTGATACAAGTTTTTGACCGTGTTCCTTTAAGCCTTTAAACGTATCTTGTCTACCATCGATCTCTGCTTTCCTCTCTTGATGTAATTCTAGTACAGCTTCAGCTTCGGATATGGTAGTCGGCGGTTCAGATTCATCCATGCGTTTGATAGTATCTGCCACCCAGATGTCCAATTCATGTAGATCTGCTTGGAATTTGTGCAATGTGTAGGCTTGATTTAAAGCTTCACGCCGATGCCTAGTCACGCGTTGCAAATCGTCCCAATTAGATTGAAGCTCAGATAATATCCCATTTATTTCAAACGCTTTATCCGGATATTTGTGTGATAAGTTTCGCGCTTCTGCCTTATGCTCCTAAAAATATATAAAATGAAAAATTGAAATATAAAAATTGAAATATAAAAATATATTTGTTTTATACTTGAAGTTAGATTAAATATAAGAGCTGAAGTGCAAATTTTGAAACTTTGTTAAGAATGATATTCTAAAATATAACAAAAATATCAATTTTGTGATAAATAATAATGATAAATATAAATAAATTATATCAAGTGTTTATTACTGTCACTTCAATTATTGAATAAATTTGCAATTATATTAATTTTGAAATAAAAGATTTATAGAATTGATACAATTTTTACCTTTAGCTTGCCTTCTATTGCTGTCATGTCTCGCTCCATAGCCTCTTGCTTTCTTTGTAATTGTTCGACAGCGGGTAAATCTTTTCCTGTGTCGCTTGTATTCATGGCTACTGATTTCTCAATAACTCTTTGGTTTGTATCATCTATATCTCGATTAAATAAATGAATTTCTAGTGCACCCGCTAATGTTTCGCGATACGTACTTAATGCACCTTGCAAGCCTTTCCACTTATTGTTAAAGTTATCGCGTCGTTGCTGAATTGCTTTTGATTCATTATCACGACCCTGTTGTCCAAAATAGTAAAATAATATAAATATTTTTAATAACAAAGTAATATTGATGAATATTTTTTTAATAGATTTCTTTTTTGTAAAAACCTTACTTGTTTTATAAGTTTATCCGCCAAAGCATTAATTGATTTTATCCTGGAATCGTCAACTCGCATATCGCTATCTACATCATCCAGTTTTCTCTGGAGGCTTAAACAATGCTCATAATCCTTTCCTGTATCGCCAGCCTGCACCATCATTTCCTTATCTCTGATCCACGCCTCGATTTTTTCCACCTGATTGTTAAATTCCAAGATATCTTGAGCTTCTTCTAAACCTCTGCCCCGATTTCCAGATTCTAACAATAAATTTCGCCAAGAAGCGTGTAGATGTTCCAATTGCTGACGAATTTCCGCACTCGCCGGATGTTTTCGTGCTAATAATGTCTCTCCCTTTGCTATTTTATAAATAAATATATTATTTTTTTTCGATATAAGCAAGAAACATGATACGACTTAATCACCAATCAATTACCTTTAATTTCTTCGATTCTGCTCTGATTTGCCGCCAGTTCCGCTTGGAACGCTTGATGTTTTTGTAATTTTTTGATTTTGTCCTCCAAGCTAGATACTTCACCTTTCGTTGCTTCCGCTTCCAACTTCTTTTGCTTCTCGCCTATCCAAGATTCAGCCTCACCCACGTCTCTAACGAATTGTGCATGCAGCAAACTGGCCTCCAGTCTTCTTCTTCGGGCATCGCATAGATCACGGATTCTTGCGCGTCTCTGAACAACCTCATTCAATCGACGGGCAATCGTTGGCAAATCAAAATGGTTCTGGGCTAAAAGTTTGCTTCCATGCTCTTGAAGTGCCGTCAATTTTTCTTCATGCGTAACCAATAACTTTTCAAATTCGTTGTGTTTTTTCATCTGTGCATCTACCTCCTCGACCGAGATACCGAAATTATCACCACTCAGTGCGGCCTCCTGAGTGCTGGATAAAGTGTCAAGCTGTTTGGCATCTCGTAAGAAGAAATGCAAGTCGATCAGTTGATCCAAATGCACTTTCTTTTGTTGCCAAGCAGTATGCAGTCTCTGTCGTTCATCCAGCAGCTGGTTACACTTTTCCTCAACTTCCTGCAAAATATATCAACGTGATTAATAAATGTTCACGCAAGATATCAATTTTGACATCTTACCATAGCGGCGTAGTGACCGGTTTGCACCATGGCTTCGCCTAAATCGAGCACTGAGCTGAAACTATCTTCTCGCGCTTCGATTTCCCCTTTTAAAGCTTCGTGTTCCGCCTTCAAGATCTGTGCACTGGCTGCATCTCGAACTTTCTCCTCTGTTGACATGGTAGCACGGAGTCCAGCTGCCCAGTTCATCAGATCTCTTACCTAAATGTTTCTCATGTTAGAAGTAATCATTATACAAATATGTCGTAAATAGCAAATAATGTAATTTAATACCTGAGTAAGGAATCGTTGTAAATCGCAACTGGCTTGCAACTGATCCCTTCGATGAGCGGATCTTTCTTTCAACTCTTCCCAGTGAGCAACAACGATTTGTTGCTGTTGATCAATATGCACTGCGTTGTTGCCTGGATAATGAGCTTGTAATCTAGAAGCATCCTCAACTAAGACTTGCAACTGAGCCTCCAAAGCGACTAAGTCATTCTCAAATCCTTCATGACGTCTAATTAAAGCCAAAACGGAATTCAAGTCACGACCTAGATCCTCTGGTAAAGCAGCCTCTTTTTCTTGTATTCGTGATAGTGCTTCTGCTACATCGCGATGGAATCGATGAATTTCACCTGCTGCTTGTAATCGTTGTTCGCGATTTCGAATAAGACCTAATAGATGCTGCCATGATTCCCTGTAAACAATTGTATCTCGAGATTATTAATCTTGTTTCCTTCTGCGAAAATTATGTACAATTTTTTTAAGGAGAAAAATACAATTCTTATTCATATAATTTTATCTACCTATTTACCTAAAATATAATTATTAAAAGTTTTAAATAAAATATAAATAATTTAGTATTAATTCAGGAATTCATGTCGGATCATATTGACTCGGGAACTCTATATTTTGAAAGGTTTTATTGTTGAAATTTTTCATTATAATAAAAGAGAAATGTTACCTATAATATGAAATATGTTCATTTTCTTGATTGATCCTAAAGAAAATTTAAAAAATTTCAAATTTGGGTTATATTGATCCGAGATGAATATGAGCACAACTAAATCCAATTGAATTCCTGAAAGTTAACAAGTGTACAAACATATATAGACATTTAATTTATATTTAAGTATTTAGTTTATATTTAATTATTTACATACATCCAAAAATTTCAAAAGATTAAAAAGTTTTAAATGGAGGCAGTTTAAAAAGTAAAGAAGTTTCAAGGAAGATTATCAAGATTTCAAAGATATATACAAGAAAAAAAGTACTCAAAAGTCCCCTAAAAAATTCCCAAAAATTAGCATTATAAATAATAAGGTATATATAAAATAGGACATAGATAAGCTTTGAATCACAAAATTTAACAATCGTATATATACATATGAATTAGTTAGAATAAATTAAGCTTGTACTCACTTCATCACTATTTGTTGATTTTGTACTTGAAGCACCGGATCATCTTCATCAGATCTATATTGAATATGTATATGGAAAGAAAGTTAGTAACCCAACACCGAGAAAAAACAGGAGTAGATTACAATTTATACATTACAAGAAATACACATGACATACTACACACGATATATTACACGATCTTTATATCAAAAAAGATTTATCAAGAGATTTACCAAGAAAGAGGAACATTAATTTATACCAATTACACCATTTTGTTAATTCAATACATGCAACTGATATTCTACGAGTAATAAGAAAATAATAAAATGGTAGAAATAAAAATAATAACAAAAGAATTATCGATGATAAGTTAAAGATTTACCCTAATTGTTCCTGACGTTTCTCGATATCTTGGATGTAAGGACTCTCGTTCGCAATTAATTTTCTGGCTAGTTCTTCGCATTGATTGAATCTTTCAGAGCCGGCCTCTATTCGATGCTTAAAATCATTGAATTTCGTTTGCAGTAATAGCAGATGTTCATAATCCTGACCATAATCTTCTGACGCTGCTGCTTGTTCTTGCTCCTTGATCCATTGCTCCAACTCTCTACTTTCTAGGAAATATTCGTGGCGATACATACTTTCCATTAAACGCTGCTGTCTTACGGTAGCTAATCGCTGTAAAGCGCGCATTTGTTGCACGATCGCTTGTTGCTTATTAGCTATCGCCTTGCTATCGGGATGCTTCGAGTTGATCATTGTGGAAGCGGTGTGTCCCATTTCTGTCACGATGCCATTGTATGTATCTAATTCAAGCTCAACAGCCTGTAAATTATAAGCCAAATGTGAACTTTCAACAATATAGTAGTTAATTATAATGATTTCTATTACTTTGGATAAAATAATAGAGTAAATTGAATTGTCGATATCACGCTTTGTATTTCACTTTACAAAATGTATACCTTGTGTTTTGTCAATAGTTTGGTGGCGGCGTCGCGATCCCTGCCATAATCGGTGGAGCTCAATACGTCGTTTTTCTCATTGAGCCAACTCTCGACCTCGCCGGCTTCGAAGAAGAATTCTTGTGCTTTCAGAGACAAATCTAACGCTTTGTTGCGTTCTCCCGCTTTATCTTGCAAATCTCTCCATGCGTCATCCAGAACATCGCATAGTTCTTGAATCTAATCAAATAATCGATGCAATCAATTACTTTTTGTTATCTAACAGTTCAATTTAATAACATCTTCAACGCGTCATTCGCGCAAAACAAATTAATAATTCATTAAATAATTAATCGCTGATATTAATGATGCTGACATATTGCCCAGAGTTTCGTCGCTATGGCAAAAGTATCAGTTTGCGTCTGCATGCAACAATATATACGCTTTCTACCTTACAATTTCAAAGACTTATTTATTAAGCAATAAAATAAAATTAAAAAGCTTATTATAACTAAAAATATGTAAGTCATATATTTTTTAAATAATAGATTTTATATTCTTAATTTAAGATAAGCTGTAAAATAAGTAAGATTATAATAAAAAATAAAAATTATATTTAAAACATTTGTTTAATCAATATTCTATATAAAAAATAAAGTAATATTCTTGTATAAACAATTTTCCACACATACGTATTAAATATATTAAATATTTATCTGGAAATAAAAGTTGTCTACTATTATATAATTTTCATATATAAAATTTTATAATGTCAATACATATATTGGAAATTATATTTTACAATTTTAAATTGCATTAAAAATCTCTAAAAAAATTTTCGTGTATGAAAAATCAATTATATAATATAAAATTAATTTGCATAATTTTAGGAACTAGCTACAGAAGTACAGTGATTATAAATGTCCTAACAATAATGTGCCCTAAAAACAATAATGTGTTAATTACATGTCTAATCGGTTTGCTAATTATCATTGATATAGAAAAGCGGTAGACATTTCTGACACATTTTTCATGCGCTTTTCATATTTACTTTACCTTCGTAGATGTAGTACCCTTTGAGAAGCTGCAACTATGCAAAAATTACAAGTTCTTACTCCAATTTCGTATCAGTCGATCATCACGCGCATGTAAAACCGCGAAAAAAATCATTATTTGGTAAAGGAATCTTGAAGAAATGATTTACCTTTTTTTCTCCGGATGAGCCTGATCAATAAGCGTCTGTCCAGAAGCAAGAGTCCTGTCTATCATAGGCTGATGACCGGCGATCTCCGCTTCCAGCTTTTTATGTTTTTTATGCAACGTCTGGGCCTGATGTAAATTTTGTCCGAGTGTGGTTGAGGACGCTTGAGGCAAGTGATCATTGATCCACTGTAATTCTGCATCCAACTCAAAGCCGAATTTATGGAAACGTAGGCTCTCCTCTAATGCTTCTCGACGTCTCTTAGCTGGCTCCTTCAGGCTGCGGAATCTAACAATACATCATTTATATGTCACAATTATCTTGATAAATCGAGTTGATCATTTAACAATTATAATTGTATAATAAACTAATTTTATATAAACATTAGTATTTACATACTTCCTCTGAGTAGCTTGACTGGTCTTCAAGATATTTGCCGCATCAAAGTGACCCTCATGGGCCATTTCCTGACCCATGGCTACAAGATCATCCACTTTCTGCTCCCATTGACACATATCGCTCTCGAGGGTCTGATGTTTTTTCAACAACTCCTTACAACTGCGGAGGTCTGTGCCTACTTGCTTACTTTGCAAGCAGCTCTCTATCTCTTCTAATTTCAATCTAGCATCTTCCATGGTGCGATTGTATCCGTGTTGAGAAGCTGCTTGCCGCAACCTGCGACCTTTTTCCAGCGACAATGCTACCAGTCGGTCCCATTGGTCATTTAGATCTTTTAAAGTTTTTCCCACGTCATCTGACCTGTAATTTTCTTCAGATATAAGCGCCTTGCCTGCTTTGTTGACTGCTCTCAATTGTCCCTCATTGGCACGTAGTTCTCGTTCGAAAGCTTCATGCTTCTGCAGTTTGCGCTCGAGATTGTTCAAATCGCGATAACTCTCGTCAGCCGCAGTCTTCATCTTGTCGCCCAACCAATCGCGCAAGTCATCCACTTCGGCTGAGAATTGTTGATAATGCTCAGATGCCTTCAAAGCTGCTCTTCGGCGTTGTGCAGCGTCCTTCACTGCCATACGACGAGCTAAGACTTGATTTCTTCTTTCATTGATACTAAATATAAATCAGATTTATATAGTTAACATAATAAAATTTTCTTAACATTTTATTTTAAAAAATTATAATTAAATCAGTTCTTTCAGAACTATGACTAATTTTAATTCAATTTCATAAGATTTGATATTATATTTTTATATTGTTTTTATTGTTTATTACTTACTAATCTTTGTCATAATGATTTTGAGCGATTAACTTGTCTGCGGTATCACTAAATGCCTTAAGTCTGTCATCTTGCGCATGAAGAGTGTTTTCGAATTTTTCGTGTTGTTTCAACAGAGCTTCAACGTCATCCAAAGATTCACCCAAGTCGGTGAACTCAAGAAAAGCTTCATGAGAACTAGTAGTAGCTTCAATCTGATCAGCTTCCCGATTAAATTGTTGCAATTCCAGACACTGTCGTAACCATTCTTCTTTAGTCACCCAATTGGCTGTTACTGCTGGATATAATCCATGTAGCTTGTCTAAACGTTCGTGTACATCTGTTAATGTCGGGTTACGACGTAATAATTCTCGACCAAGGTCTTCAACCTCGCGGAATCTACACAAACATAAGAAAATAAAAATAATTTATAAAAGTTATATATATTTGTTTAATTAAAACAGATTTATATATATAAAATATTATTATTTGCAAAGAAAATTTATCCTGCTTCGCACAATACATCAAATTATGCAATTTTTGGGAAGACAAAACAACATGTCTTTACTTTTTAAAAGGTGACGGGATGAGAGAAGGATAATTTAAAGATTCAGATAATTTAAAGTACAGACTTTATCCTTAAAGAAAAAAACTTTCAAATACGATAATTTTTCGCAGAGTTCTGCTTATTTGAAGTTTATACTAAATTTTGATATAATCTGATCTATGCGTTAATTTTGTTGACTAGTGTATTTTCATACTGTAGATTCATACTGTACATACTCGTCTTCTTTGGTTCGTATTTCTTCTCCAAGTTCCATATGCTGTTTTTTGAGTTGTTCAGCTGTAGCAACATCTCTCACTGGTTCCTCGGCTTTCATTATCTCTTGTATATCCGTAGCCCAGTTGATCAGATTCTTTGAACTGTTCATAAATATCTGTTGACCAACCGCATCTTCCAATCGAGATCGTCGCTCCTTAGCCTTCGTTTGAACTTTATTCCACAGATCCTTAATCTCATTTTGTCTCACATTGACGTTGTTACATTCATGGGGGTATGAATTTTTAACGCTATTGCCTAATAAATTAACTTTTCGTACCTGTAAAAATAAAATTAAAAAATTTAAGAATTATTGTTTTATTATTTATTATATAATGAAAAATACTGAAGTTGTTAAACCTTTTCTTCAACTGGTGCCAATTCTCGTTCCAAATGTTGATGTCTTCTTTGTAGAGCCTGCACAGTCTTCAAATCTGGGCCCAACTCGGCCGTATCTAGCTGGGTGATCTTTTCTAGCATCCAATCGTGAGCCTCATCACAAGTTCTGTTGAACAATTCAACGCTGGATGCACCCTCCAAGCTCTTTTCCTTTTGTGTTTTTAGCCAGTTTAAGTGATCCCACAGCTGATGAATATGTCTTTGTCTGGCCTTAACTTTGTCTAATTGACTATGACCTTGGCGGACAAATTCATCTACCGCTGCATCTATTGCCTCCACTCGTTTCCCAGAAGCTGACAGATCCGTCAAGAATTTCTCATATTTTCTCCTCGCCGTTTCGACATTGTCGCGAGGATCATCTACCCTTAACATTTTCTCTTTATCTTTGATCCACTTTTCGAAGTCATCACATTCTCGATAAAAACCGTAAAGCCTGATAGCATCCTCCAGCAATGCGTGCCGCTTCACAGCAAGTTCCTGTAATTCGCTGTAAGTGTCATTGATCTTCTTCTGTCGTTTCTCCACGCTGTCACCGTCGCTCACTGCTTTTCGCTTGATCGGCTTCACAGTAGATTTGATAGATTTTAGTCGCCGGACTGGCACTACTTGCTTTACCATTTTCGTCTTTTTCACCCGCTGTGTCACTTTAACCTTTTCAGGTCTGCGTACCTGTACTTGCACGACCTTTGGATCGATCTCGCGAACATAATTAGCTGGCACAAAGCCATCTGTACCATCAGTTTTCCTTACGCTCCACCAATCGGGATTCGTTTTATTCAACAGAAACATCACTTCGCCTTTCACCATGTGCATACCCTGACCGTTGAACGGATATAGACTCTTCACTTGCGGTACCAGTCTATCTTCATGAACAGTTCTCGGCTCAAGTCGTTCGACCACCTCATCCACCCATTCGTCTTGGGGAACCAATCTGATCTCCTTACTCCATTCTTCTTGTTCAAGCTCGGCGACCGGTTCAGGATCGGCTGACAACTCTAGAGTGGAGATGCCGGATTTAACGAGTTTCTCCGCCTGTGCGTTCAGAGATTGCACATCGCCTTTATAAGCGTTTAATTCGCCTTCCAAATCTTTGTGCCTTTGTAACAAAGCTTGAGCGCTCGGCTCGTCCACCCCGTAATCCTCAGAGGCTACCAAAGTCATTTTCTCGTTCATCCATGAATCAGCTTCATTCGCGTCGGCATAAAATTGGAATGCTTCGGCCGCGTCATCCAGTTGCTTTTTACGTAATGCCGCTAATTCTTCCAAAACTCTCCAGTGTTCTTGCAGTGAATCTATTCGATTCTGTATTTCTAATGCCGATGGATGATTGTCGGCTATCAATTTTCTACCGGCGTCGCAAAGTTGCTCGGATTTCGGCCTGCGCACCTTCATCTCATCTTGCAGAGCCTTATGTTTCTGTTGCAGCGATATCACGGCTCGCAAATCCTTCGCGGAAATACCAGCTTTGCATATTCGCTGCTTCTCCACTAGCCATGACTCCTCGTCTTCGTGATCCTGAAGGAAGTGAAAGAAATTCCTAGCATCCTCCAACCGAGCTTTACGTTCCTTGCTATTTTCCACAAGTTCATCGTAAGCGCGATTGAGCAATTCCAACTTTTGCTGCAACAATGGCGCCTCCTTGTTCTGTGGCTGTGTCAAGTGTTGAGCAGCCTGTCTACCGAGTCGTCGTTGGCTCTCGCCCAAAGCCGTCACTTGCAATTCCTGCAAGCTGTGTTTCTGTAGCAGATCTTCGACTCCGAGTAGATGCGGACCCACGTCAGTACTTTGGAAGTTCAATTGGAGCTCCTGGATGGAAGCGAGCGTCGTGTCGATCTCCCTCATCAAGGTCATTAAAGAACAAAGCGCAACCAGATTGGATTTATGGTGATCTAATAAAGCCAGCAGCTCCTTCCATCTCTGCAGCACTTCTTGTTCTCTGCTGCGGACTCTTTCTAAACCGTGATAGTTCTCTCGTACCAGTTCTTCGGACATGTTCGTCAAATCGTGGAAGCGCTCCTCGCGTGCCAAAATATCAGCACTGATGGCCTCGTGTTTCTTCACTGTGGCATCTACTTGAGCTAAGTTGCTGCCATATCGAGGATCCGTCAAGACTTGAATCATTTCTTTTAAATAACCCTCTCTGAGCACGCTCTTCCTCTCAAATTTGTAATTCAACTGCTCAAGTCTCTCTTGTCGCAACAACTCGGTCCTCAGAGCGACTTCACGTCGATGTTCCGCTCTCTCCAACTCTACCCAATTTCTCTCGATATCGTGGATCAGCTGACCTTCTTGTGGGGTAAACGCCGGCTGATTCAGAGATTTTAACCGGGTGTTTATGTGGAAATACAATGCTTCTATTTCGGATCGCTCCTTGTACTTCGGAGGTTTCTCCACTGTTCGATATTGTTTGAAAGATAAAAGTTCTCGTTGGATGCCTTCCAGCGAATTCGGGAAGTTGCGATTTTCCAGGACCTCGATTTTCATTTTGATCCATTCCAATAAGTCAGTCGTTAACTTCTCGTAATGGATTTTCATCTTGTCGGCATCCATCATTTGACCAACGATCTGCGAGAGTAAAAACAATTAAAATGAGTGGCTGAAATATTTATTTTAATTTCATTAATGCTTAAGTTCTTAAATCTGTAGATGTTCGAATTCTATAAGATATATTTTAATTCTAAAATATAACATTTGTAGGAAATTAAATGTAATTGTAAAAATATCTGCGTGTATTAATGTATCATTTCTTAAATATCGTTAGATTTGTATTTCATATGGACGTGACGAGCATATTCAGGTCGCGAATCGAAGCGAACAGCTGATAGAAAATAATAGCTGATCACGTATCATTTTCGCGATGATCAAGTTCGTGTTTTCCCGTGATTGACGAAAGATTTTGAAGAAGACACGGTCAAATTCGGCGAAGCGCGAGACACTCGAAAATCCGCCGCTAAGAGAAAAAGACGATTCCGAGAGCTCGCGCATTGCACAACGTCGTCTTGAATAAAGTAATTATATCATGCAATTATACTCGATATCAATTTCCTACACGTAACTATTGAAACTTATATAATCATAATATTAACAAAGATAAAATTAAAATTTTCAAATGTTTAGATTTTTTGTCAAAAGTTATTAGATTTTTTCATTTTCAAAATATAGTTGATCTTTTATA